GTGTGTGTGTGTGTGTATGTGTATGTATGTGTGTGTATATGTGTATGTGCATGTGTATGCGAGTGTGTGTGTGTGGTTGTACGTCTATATGTATATATGTATTTATGTATGTATATATTCATGTACATATCCATAGGAACAAAGACTATGCAGTATACATATATATATATATATATATATATATCAGCAAAATTTAGGAATTGTAGATGTCATGTAGATAAATAATCCATATGTAGTACCTTATTGCAGATCTAATTGTTTTCTTCCGATACGCCTCAATAATGCTATCTGTTGCTGTATGTGTGTGTTGGCGTTCGGTATGTAAATAAATATACTCAACCATGTGTGATTTTAATTGGTATATATATATACATCTCGCAGCTGTGCCCTATTATCACTGTTACACCATATTATAATAGTAGGTCCAAGATCACATTGAAATTCCGAGCAATACATGCTGTAATGTATGTGTAGAGAGTTCATATTAAGAACCGACTCCTGCTGACACAAGTGCGCACCTGTGTACATGGGGGTACAAACCCAAAGATCAGAACCACGTACAATAATGCACATACTCGTAGTGCAAGCGGGTTTTTGATATGCCTGCGACTGCCAAACCCGTGTTGCGAATTATAGTATTGATTTTAAACATAGCCGCATCCCTCTAAGCATACCATACGATCCCTTACAACCAGATTGCAGTATTCCGAAACTATGCCGATTTTGTGAACACGCGTATCGCGAAGGCGCAGAGCGACTACGAGAAGCTCGACCCCAGGCACCAGCAATTGTTAACACATTTTCCCAAAAGGATAGAGGCCCTGTACGAGGCGGTGGATGCCAATCAGCAACTGTTGTTTGAGGTCACGAAACCGCACAGGATCTTCCTGAATGACGACGCACTTGTACGTGCGTGTCGGTGTGTGGTGGTGTTGAGTGAATGTTCGATTCTTGTGCGTGTTGGTATTGTCAGCATATCGCCGGGCTACCGAAGAATGTCGGAAGGCGTTAGTAGTCAGTACCTGAAATCATTGAGCCGCATGAGGTGAGTGCTAGCGGGTGAGTGTGATGGTGCGAGTTCCTCTGCGTAGTAGCATTTATTTGCTGCATGATAGTGATATACCCTCGTTCCTGTGATATATATAGACCCAGGTTGAAGTGTATGGGATGGAGGCAACAGGGGGTTTGAGGCCCCGAAGGCTATTCTGAATTGCTGACGCTATAGTAGTGTGTGAGCTGGTGCTTGACACTGATTATCAGTAGGTAAGAGTAGGTATATGTGTGCTCCTGAGTATATCTTCACTTGTATCTTGCTCGCGTGTATGGGGGCAGCGCATCAGGCCGTGAATGCCATTGAAATCACCAAGCTCTGACATTCAACATCATCTCGACGTTGCACGCGGTACAGAACCGGCACGCCCAGCCCCTCTCATATGTCCTGAGTTGGTGTACGATTGCGTGAATAAAATTTAACACTTGTTCAAGCGCATGTCTGATGCGTGTGTATGGAAAGACCAATGGCATATCTACTTGGTTGGATGGGTGTGTGTGTGTATGCGTTTGAATTCTACTTAGACGCATCCGTGTCCCATGGGTAGCGTTGTATATCGGCATTCGCTTTGGTATTGGTTCCAACCCACTACCACATATACCTCAGGCTGCACGCCAGCTATCACTAGTATAATTTAACATAACATTAAACAGTCGATTCAAGTAATCTGCTACAGAAACCAGCACAACTCGTGAGGCCCGATTTAAAGTTGTACGGTGCCACTGGCTGTTGCGATTCGTCCGACCACTTCCAGAACATGATGCAACACTATTCAACGGGGTGTGATGGTTGTGTATCGACCTCGTCTCTACTGTGTATATTCCTGCAGTATCTTTATATGGGGCTGATATTACAATGCCTCCCTACCACATGCCACCGCACTACTTACTTAACAGGACACTGAGAAAGAGATGGAATACGCCGACGGCAAGAAGTTCACGATAGATGAGCACAAGAAGGTGCGCTCGACACTCAAACAGTTTGTGCGCGATTGGAGTGAGGAAGGCGCAGAGGAGAGAAGCCAATGCTACCAGCCCATAGTAGACGCAGTCACCGATCGGTTTAAGGATGTTACTGACAAGTAAGTTTGAGAGAATCTGGTGCAGGAGAGGTAGAAGAATGTATCTATGACTTACTTTGGTGTAATATGTGTATATACCCGCATGCGTATGAGAAAGCGGCATATCCTGCATGTGAGCGAGGCTGGTGGCCATACTTTTCTGCAGATGTGGCAAGTCACGCCTGATTCTGATCTTGTGCAGATTCGTATACACAGTATCTGTCAGCGTCGTCACAGTGTAGCTTCTATGGAGTTCCAATTCGAAGGCCCTTTAAGCAAGCCACGTGAAATGCACCACAGCACACGGGAGTTGAACTAGTATATAACGGAATGTTTGGTTGTTGAGCGTATGGCCGGGGTGGGTTCGTTTCGGTGGGTCTTCTGTGATGGATATGATTGTTTTGTGTCGCATCCGAAGAACAGCTATACCTATAACCCCCACCTCTGCTTCGGGATAGTTAAATTCCCTGGCCAAGTTGTGAGTGGTTATGGCAATAACTTGGGGTCCACTTCACTGTTTTAGTTCAAAGTAGAAGATGTTAGCCCTACTTGGTTTTGGCGCAATATTCTCAATTCACTGCAATGCGCTGAGTGTAATCTTCGAGTGCTTGTTGGCCTGCGTGAGAACTAAATCACTAACCAAACTGCCCAGAGCCGGGTTCTGGGCAAGTATAAGTTGTAAAGTAACGATCTCTGATTGGTTCATTTTAACTTATCAGATCTCAACTTCGAGTGCTAGTACCGGGAGCGGGTCTTGGGCGGCTCGCCTTTGAGTTCGCAAAGTTGGGGTTCAGCTGCGAAGGCAATGAGTTTTCCTTCTACATGCTGGTTGCGTCTAATTTTATCCTGAATAGGTATGCTTTGAAGTTTGCCACCGCATATGTTATGCTGTAGTTTTTGAACTTGTGATCCAGTCTATGAACAGACTCGTGTTGTTCACGATACTATACTCCAGATCTACATGCCTGCATGTTTCTTGATGTATACTAATAGATATGAACAAATATAAATCTCCTCTATGTACTACCAAAGGCGATGTTCATACCCAGGCATGTTTGAGATTCTCCTTCTCGGTTGCCGCGTTTTCGATCAAAAATAAACCCCTCTCACGGATGAATATCACTGGTGGGGTATTTTTTATTATTTGTTAAAGATTTCTCTAATTTTGACATCTGATAAAACTTGGATTGGAATCTCTTATATGTTTTATATATTTTAAACCGTTCCAAGTGTCTACCGTGTGCGTGTGCTACACTAGGAGACTTCAGGTCTTTGTTTCAATAGATATTCGTTTATGGAAGACTCCATATTATTCCTCAATTGAGAGAGTCCGAAAATTGGAATGTTTTATCTCTATCAAAAACGGGCTTCCTCATTAAAATACGTACGTGTATGGCTTCCTCTATATGCTATATATCTCACCGCCAACAATCTGAACGGTCCTGATGTCCTGAGTTCTTTCTACCAAGGTCCGGTCCCCCCGTGGATATCTACCCGTGGGTGCACGAGTTCTCAAATCACATCGACGCAGACGATCAATACAGAGCGATATCAATCCCCGATGTAGAGCCAGCCAAACACCTGGGCAACGGCAGTGCTGAATTCAGCATGACGGCCGGGGATTTTTTAGATTGCTATGTTACTGAAGGTGCGATTGCTGTGCCTTGTACACCTCAAGGCTCGCGCGCGTACATTCGTACTCAACACCCTTTTGTGTGTATGGTGGTATCTTTTATTTCTTTGAATGACAAGTGTGTGTAGCGAGATATGTACCCGTGTGTATATGGACAGATCACTGCATTCGAGGTTTGCTTGTTCTCTTTAAGTACATATTTATCGCAAACTTAGTTGATTCATCCGATGTAGTCGTGCCCGCCATAGACATGTGATTCTGTGTATTTGGCCATAATCGCTCGCAAAAATACGAACCTAAATACGGGTGACTACTGACACACATCACATGCTCGATGCACATCTATACAGGTAAATTTGACGCGGTCGCATCATGTTACTTTATTGATACGGCGAAGAATATAATACAATATATAGAGCGCATTTACGACATTCTGAAGCCCGGGGGCGTCTTTGTCAACATGGGGGTATGTTACTAATATATAACTGTGATGCAAGAGTGTCTGTATTTTGACTCATATCTGTCTTATACTCGTATATGCGGAAGTATCCTGGTGTGTGTGTGTGTGACTGGATTTGTATTAAAGTGTACTATCTTGTCATCCATAGCCTTGATACTAATATTGCAACCACGATCAAGTGTTGTAACACCCGTGATAAATTGGTGTGCAATCTCATCCCCTTTTTGCTGCGCTCATTTGGTTCCTATTCCTGCAGAAACATACACGTTTGCATTCATCGACGCCTCCAGGTATTTAAAAGTCCTTCCAAAAGGCATGGATGATTTGTTATCTTGTATGATATAGCATGCATGACTCTTTTAACTAATCTATGAGACACTCCATTGCACCGCTTCCAATCAATCAGCCTCTGCTGTACCATTTTTCTGATAGCCCTGAACTGTCTATCGAATTGAGTTATGAAGAGGTAAAGGATGTGATGCTGGCCACCGGGTTTGTGATTGAGGTAAGTAGCTTGTATATCTAGTTAATGCTCGTTTGCCCGTGTTTGTCGCGAGAACCAGTCTTTAGTTGATGCACACACATTTCTCTACGGATAATATATATATATATATATATATATATATATATATAATTCATGTCGTATTGTAATGAGGTGCTAGTAGCTATCACATTTCAGCTGGCACGTCCAAATTTACTAAATTACGCTCTGCTTTTATATTCTGGATGCCGTACATGCATCGACTCACCTGAACAATTTCATACCATCCCGTTTCAGCAATTTTATACTAAACCCTGAAACAAGCGGATTAAACCCAACATATTTTTTTGACACATATTCCACCAAAAAAAAATATCACAGGAGGAGCGCAGAGGCATTCATTCAAACTATATAGGCAACACGAAATCACTGTACAACATATCATACGAGTGCGTCTTCTTCGTCGCGTCAAAGCCTAGTAAAGCAGAAAATAAATCCTAAGCACTAATCTTAAATCCATCTGTACAGCTATTTATAGTATAGATATATATAGTATGTAGGTCTGCGCCATGCACGCTGTAGCATAGAAATATACGTATGCTGAAGACACAAATAGTTTTACGTATTGATGTAGTTGTAAGTATAAACGTGTTACTAATGCTGGTGTTCCAGCTTACTTTAGCGGACTCTCGGGAAAAAAACATGAAAGCGTAGGTACCTTTCGTCCTCAAATTTACCCAAGGCTGGTGATGGTTTGTCGAACTCTCTTGAAGCGATGAACACTTAAACAGTAACATATGCTGTAAAAGTAATATGCCTTAAAACTGTTCCTTATTTCAAAACGTTTCAGCTGCAATAGTTCATTTTCGTCCAAAGAATAACCCTTTTTATTACACCTATTTATATTTATATCGGATTTTAACCATGTTCGCATCACGGCCTCTGATTGCCTTTTACAAACGTCAGTATCTCGGTTTCGGTTGATTTCCCGACATCCTTCGTGTACTGCGGCGACCTAACTTTTGGGTTACAATCTTATCTCAACGTGCAGATGTACGTATACTCCAGTACATGCTTCTTCCACACTTGGCAAAATTAGATCAAACTCACTATGCCCATCAGCTGAGTCTCTCCCGTGCCCTTCAGATATGTTGTATTTTTCTATACGGTGTGCGGCATCGCAACACCTGCTGTCCGTAACTAAGCCCTCACGTACTAGTTGTACATATCTACATTGAGTAGCAATTTTTTCAGACATACTTTCGTATGCCATCGAATCGCTGTGTGTCGCGTCCAGTATTGTGCCACACTGAAGCAAGCGACATACGTTGAAAGTGTCTTGAAAGTGTCTGCGCGAACCCCTGCCGAAACTCTTCAAGGGAAGTCTACGCCTACTGTTCAAGCCCGACAATCCCACCCAATTAACTGTCGGATAGAGTGCATGAACTGAGGTTTAGGACAGTGTATCGTACAACGAAGACACGAGCTCTTATGTTTCCTCGGTTTGTAGCGACATCCCGTCGTCAGCATCCGCTGGTATAATCGCTAAGATTACATTGATTCTTTGCGTTGCCAGTGAAACTCGATACACATATGCCGTTGGAAAGCTATTCAATCCTCGTTAATTGTCCATATCGGCGAGATTCCCTATCAATATGCTTCAAGTTACTCCGTGGAATGTTCTCGGGAAGCGGACATATGTGATGGCTGCGAAGATACGCCTCCGAATCCCCGCTATTTGACCACGATAGTGAGACCTCATGCTAAGTGGGCTAAATCGTCCTTGTTGATTGCCCCTGAATCAGAAAGGAGCCGTGCTCAAAAATCATTACCCTAGCCACCGACTCCTCGTTAATTGTCCATGCCGGAGGTATGTCACACCAGGGGGGCGAATGTTCCATTTTTTATCATCTATGTAGGTAGGGAAATGCCAGAGGCATTAGCGGTAGGATTGCCACTGTTTCCTTATTGACTGCTTACAGCTCGTATATAAGCCTAGTGCGATAGTACTATCCAGCACAGCACCGGCATCGTCTCCTCTGCGAGTACAGGCACTTGTCCTATATGTAGTAATTAGTACTGTTCATTTTCATCCGGCTGACAGGGTTTCTGAATACCCGTCTGAACTTACTGACTTGCCATTTAACCTGATGCCTGCCTATGAACAAGTCTCTTGTTGTCATCGCGAGCCGCATCCTTGAACTCTGGCCACCATACTTGACCTCCTTCATTTGGTTTCCTATGTATCGCTACCCACCATAGACATGCCTACCCACCCTCCACTCCTGCTACCTCCAACCTCTATAACGTCACCTTTACACCTGTCTCGCGCTCTTAATCTTCTTCCCTTCCTTGGCCGCTGCAGGCCTCTCTGAAGGACTCGCGATCGCAGTAGTCGGTATGGCTGTAGCCACCACACATATAGCTGACGACGTAGACCTACTTGCCAGCCTGTGCACATTGCTCAGACCTTCGGTTCTGATTACTCCTATAGGGCCTGTGGCCCCTATGCTCCGTACGCTTTCCAAACCATCGGATTCCTCGTCACGCGTTCTGAAATTGGAACTGCCTGTACCGCTTAATGGATACTGGGATTGGCTGCTGCTATTTTCCAAGCTTCGTATGGAATACGTTTCCTGAATTAATTCGCGATCTAATTTATCTGTGTAGGCAAATTAAAGAAGAGTTACATATCAATAGAAAAGGAGTTGTGTTCAGCACATTCCTCATACTTGGTGTACGAATCTAATTATAAATCAATCTCAGGCACCGGGGAAAGAGGTACATTGACGCGATAGTGATCGAGTTTGATACTCATGATATCGCAACAGAAATTTAGCAAAAAAAAAGATTTGTTTTTGGACTATTGGCACTAATCAGCATGTGGTAGTCATAAATAAAGTTTACCAATATTGATGAGCGTGTTTAATATGCGGCATGCTTGAGATGAAATAGTGAAAGATAAAAGCACCACATGACAACATTGCACAGACTGTGCTCGAGTCAATAGAATTCCACAGATCAGAATGGAGATAAGTATAAAAAACAACGATATGCGGACCTCGTCTTGCAGGTATCCGAATATCTGACAAAATAGTCCTGACATAACGATGAGTTTATAAAAATCGTATGAATACACGATGTAGAACATCGTTCAGGTATATATATTTAGTTTGAAAGGCGAAAATGTTTGAACAACGAAAATGCATCTCAAGCAGACACTTGTTTAGGTATACACCAATATACCGTTAAAACCCATCACGGAATTCTACCTAAACGGCGTTTCCATGATAATCAGAATATATATATATATAGACAAATATATAGATAGATAGATAGACAGACAGATAGATAGATAGATAGATAGATGGATGGATCTATATATGGATATATATATATATATATATATATGTGTGTGTGTGTGTGTGTAAATAAATAAGTATATATAATATATAGTATATATAATAAAATAATAAATATAA